TTCTTTTGTGCACAAGTCACATTTTAATTGAAAAGTTGGCCGCCTTACTGCAAACTGTTTTAGAAATTCAATGATGACAAATACAGTAAATGAATGGGCTCTGCCTTTCTGGGAACAGAAGCTGTTCCTTAGGGGGTTTGTGTGGTTCTAGAAAAAGAAGGAAATGCAAACTTCATATTTTTTTGGTGATTTCAACTTTGGCAAGTTGTGACTAATGGGGCCTAGCCTAGACATCATGAAAGTTTGGTTGTCTTATGACTTTGTCCTGTAGTTGGGAGTTTCGTTGAGTGATTCATTGCTATTACTTGTTCTGCTAACGCTTAACTTCATTTGCATATTTATGCAGTTCTTCTATTTTGATTCTCTGGAATCACTACCAAAAGAGCCATTAGATCCCAGTGAATTTACCCCTCTGAATAGCCGCTATGATGCACAAATTTCAGTGTTTGGCTCTAAGCTCCAGAAGAAGCTGGAGGATGCTAAAGTGTTTATGGTAGGATCTGGTGCACTTGGTTGTGAGTTCTTGAAGAATCTAGCGCTGATGGGAGTTTCTTGTGGGAACCAAGGAAAGCTGACCATCACTGATGATGACGTAATTGAGAAGAGTAACCTCAGTAGACAGTTCCTCTTCCGTGATTGGAATATCGGGCAAGCAAAATCCACTGTTGCTGCTTCTGCGGCTACATCAATAAATCGTTGTCTCAATGTTGAGGCTTTGCAAAATCGTGTGGGACCTGAAACTGAGAATGTCTTTGATGATGCATTCTGGGAGAATTTGACAGTTGTTATCAATGCGCTGGATAATGTGAATGCGAGGCTATATGTTGACCAGAGGTGCTTATATTTCCAGAAGCCACTTCTTGAGTCAGGGACTTTAGGTGCTAAATGCAATACTCAGATGGTCATTCCTCACCTAACAGAAAACTATGGTGCCTCAAGGGATCCACCTGAGAAGCAAGCACCGATGTGCACTGTCCACTCCTTCCCACACAATATTGACCACTGTTTGACATGGGCTCGATCTGAGTTTGAAGGTTTGCTTGAGAAAACTCCTGCTGAAGCGAATGCATTTTTGTCCAACCCTGTTGAATACACTGCTGCCATGAGGAATGCTGGTGATGCTCAGGCTAGGGATACTCTAGAACGTGTCATTGAGTGCCTTGACAGAGAAAAATGTGAAACATTCCAGGACTGCATAACTTGGGCTCGTCTAAGGTAACTCGTGAATGATGATAGATCTAGTGTACGGTTATGATAAAAGCAATGTTTTGATTGCATGTTTTCTGATATTATCCTTATTGTTCAGGTTTGAAGATTACTTTGCTAACCGCATTAAACAGTTGATTTATACATTTCCTGAAGATGCTGCAACCAGCACTGGGGCTCCATTCTGGTCAGCTCCAAAGCGTTTCCCTCAACCTCTTCAGTTCTCTATTGCTGATCCCAGTCACCTCCATTTTGTTATAGCGGCATCCATATTACGAGCCGAGACATTTGGTATCCAAATCCCTGACTGGGTGAAGCATCCCAAGAAGTTTGCTGAGGCTGTTGACAAAGTGATGGTTCCAGAATTCCAGCCAAAGAAAGATGCCAAAATTGTGACTGATGAGAAGGCTACCACTCTCTCCACTGCTTCTATTGATGATGCAGCAGTTATAAATGAACTTATCAAGAAATTAGAGAACTGCAGACAGAATCTGCCTCCAGGGTTCAGGACAAAACCAATCCAGTTTGAAAAGGTTTGTCTCCTTTCATCCTTTATGCATTTACCTTAAAGTTTTAAATTAGCTGGATCAATTGGTCTAGATTATCTCTCATCCTTGACCTAGATGGTGATAAAGGGGAACCTTCCCATGTGTGATTCACTAGTATATATTATTGATTTTGTGTCTTCACCTGAAAAACTTCATTGATGTTATCAAAATCTAGAATACTTCATTGCTGTCTTAAGCAATTCAATCTTTCTATTCTGTCAACTAGGTTTGAAGCTAATGTGGTTTCAAAACATATACAGGATGATGATACCAACTACCACATGGATATGATAGCTGGGCTTGCCAACATGAGGGCGAGGAACTACTGCATTCCTGAGGTTG